ATAGGAATTTCTAAAACCTGACTGTAATTCATACAATAAACTATTATCAACTATAAACTTTTTAAGTTGTGAATACACTGGTTTTTCTAAAAAAATTGATACAATGCTTAAAATGCTTACAGGTCTATAATTTCCTACTTCAAGTATATAAAGGTTTTACCCTAGCTACTTTCATGTCATCAGGAACATAATTTTCTGAAATTGACATATTTATGATAAATGTAATTGGTATTTTCAAAAAGGAAGCTGCATCTTTTAAAAATCTAGCAGGAATTTTATCTAAACCAGCACTCTTTGATGAGTTTAAATTCTTAAGCTCTTTATATACAAATGTCTCAGACACATGTTTCAAGTACATTTTATTATTCTTAATATTTCTATCATTATAAAAATCTAATTAATATGCACTAGCAAACCTTCGTACACCTATTATTTATCAAAATAAACTATTCTAAACTAATGTTGATCTTTCACATTACATCAAGTTGTTTATGAAGCCTTAGAATACCGATATTATATACTCTTTCTTCCATGCACGAAATGCAACATCCGTTTCTATGGAAAACTCGTATCCATTTGATCCCATTATGAACTTGCACTGCTTCGAATAAAGTGTAGGCAAAATCAATAACATATAAATGTGTACGCAGTATCTTTATTTTTTAAGATTGTACGCAGTATCATAATGTCTTTTTCCTGTAAATAGTTCGTTTTAAGATATTTTCGTACAAAAGAAAAATAACAAAGATTGAAAATATATTTATGAAACAAGTTCTACAATAAACGAACTTCCAGTTGTGTGAAACTTTCAATTTAATCGACAATTTCTCAATTTCTGTAACATTTCAACGCCGGATGTACGCAGTATCCAGAAAAAAAATCGCATTCACACGAAATACTGACGAAATACTGACAAGAAAGGGAAGATTGAGTCAAGGCATTTGGAATATTAATACTAGAAGTAAGGACATCTTCTTCTCAATAGAAATTAAATTCAAATCTATTCTGATTGCTTTTACATGACTCGTTTTTGTTCAAAATACCGGTTGAAAAGTGTTCGCGGTATCAGAATTTTGAGGATGCGCGCATGGTATAACCTCCTTGGAAATAAAAACGGTGCTAGGCTGAGTAGAATACTGCTTTTATTTGGAATCTTTGGACTCGAAAAATGAAAACGCGACAAGATTCAGTACAATATGTATTTGATACGGATGTTTTCCGCTTGATAATGAAAACAAGGCCAAATAGGTCACCTTACTAAATCTTGCTGTTTAAAAACTGAATGGTGTACATTTTTCGAATAAGTACGAATAAGTGGGCATTGGACATTCAGCCATAGATCTACGGTGGCAAAAAGGTGACATGTGTACGTTAATATTTATCTCGTGCGAACGAGATACTATATCGTGGCCACATGTTACTAATTCGTGCGCACGAGATTTTATATCGTGGCCACGAGCTACTAATTCGTGAGAACAAGATAATTAAGTGGTGCGCACGATATTCCATGTCGTTGGCACGAGTTACTTAGTCGTGGGAACGAGATACTATGTCGTAGCCACGAATTACTAAGTCGTGCGCACGAGATGATTAAGTGGTGCGCACGAGATACTATGTCGTGGCGACGAGTTAGTGATGCGCACAATATACTATGTCGTGGCCACGAGTTACTACGTCGTGCGGATGAGATAATAAAGTCGTGCGCACGAGATAACTAACCAATCAGATTATTATATATTTGAACTTTCTTAGTTAATTAGAAATGTGACATAGAGCAATGCTGCCCCAACTTCACCTGCTTGTCATAGTGCCATATATTTATAAGTTATTTATTTGACATTGATCTTTTACATGCAGCGTCATTGTGACCCTGATTTGTGACCCAATGTCCACAAAACTATAAGGTGTCATCCACCGATCAGGTGCAAAGTACATACAAGGTTATATAAACCATGGCTTAATTCTTCTCAATGTATTCATCAGACAAGGGAATTTACATGAAGTTTCATGGTAACCTTGACCTTTGACCTATTACCTCAAAAATTAATGTAGGTCATTATCTGGCCACGGGCAAAGTCCCTACCAAATAACATAAACCAAGGCTTATTCCTTCTCAAGTTATTGTAAGAACAAGGCTATCAGCCGTAAGAACGTTCAAACTGTTCAACCCTATCAGAGAATGGTCCCTACAAAGGGTCATAACTTAGTCAAAATTAAAGTCTGATCAATGGGTCTTGGAAAGTGATCTCCTAATATGATCCGTAAGACATGTATCAATTTAAAAGTGAATGTTCCTAGTTGTTTCAAAAATTAATGTTGCATGTGAGACGTAAACCAAGCATTTTTTACATTTAAAAGTTCATAAAGTGTTATTTGACCCTGGTCACGACATAGTATCTCGTGCGCACCACTTAATCATCTCGTGTGCACGACTTAGTAACTTGTGGCCACGACATACTATCACGTGCGCACCACTTAATTATTTCATTTCAACGACTAAATAATTCTTGGCCACGGCGCACGACTAAGTAAATCGTGTCCACAACAAAATATTTCGTGAGCACCACTTAGTCTCGTTCCCACGACTTAGAAACTCGTGGCAACGACATAGTGTCTCGTGCGCAAGGCTTAGTAAGTCGTGCCCACGACATGGTATCTCGTGCGCAGTTCTTAATTATCTGGTTATCACGACTTAGTTACTCGTGGTCACGACACGGTTTCTCGTGCGCACGAGATAAACAAAAAAACACACACACACACATGTCATCTCTGTGCCACTGTAAAAGATCTCACGTTGTTCTCCATTACTTTATAGCATTTTAAATATTTAAGCAATTCATGAGTTACAGTTTATGAAAGTTTTATTATATACATATATGATAAGATGAAAATAATTATCATTCATTTTTAATGACATTTCATCCTTGTAAAAACCTTTTCATTTCACGCTTTAAATAATTTTTTGGCCATTGGCCCTTAAGCCCCAAATCTCAACTTGGCACATTATACTCGAAGTAGTTTTGTCTTGGTTGTAAATTATTGTTTTCTATTTGCGACCGATGTCTGAACAAAATATGATTTTTATGAAGTTTGAAAATTATCTTTATACCCAATCATAATGGAAAATGTACGCCACAAGATAATTTAATTCACAAGGTTAGCTTTTTAAAAAGCTAGTAGCGACTCGCTTCGTAATTTTTTTCCAGGGGTGTGTTTAAATGTAAAAATGACAGTTCTGTTAGCTGAAAGGACTTCAGAGAACATAACATCAAAATAAAAGTGACATATAAAGTTATGGAGGCCAGTTCTCTCAGTTTGGTTTATACAGAATTCATTTTAGTTCGATTGTGAAGAAACCTATAACCTATAAGCTTATAGACACACTTTCGTATTCGTTCCTGGAACCAACTAGTACTGAGCAATGAGTGTAAAGATTCTTGCTCAAGGAAACTACGACTTGCCCCTGACGGGGTTTGAACCCATACGGCTAGCGATCAGTAGATTACTAGTCCGACGCGTTAACCACTCGGCCATGCCGCCACTTTCAGTTTAACAAAGAGGAATATGAGTATATATGAAGATGCATGCAAACAGATAGAATGAAGTCCCTATGTCTATGCACATTTACTATATGGCCTGATGACCTTGACCAAAAATGTTAGATAGGTAGAATTCATAAAGATGTCTCTTTATACGAAGTTAAGTTGTAATATGTTATTTAGTATTGGAATGAGTGACAGACACAAGTCCTAAAGTAAACACAAGTTGTCAATCAATTCAGCCAGAAAAGCCGGGATCGTATTAAAAAATATAGGGATCCCGGAAATTGACCAGTCTAAGAAGAATCTGATGTTTTTTCAGATAAGCCGGGATCGTATTAAAACATAAAGGGATCCCGGGAATGGACCAGTTCAAGAAAATAATTTTCAGAAAAGCCGGGATCGTATTAAAATATATAGAGATCCCAGGAATTGGCCAGTTCAAGAATATAGTTTTCAGAAAAGCTGGGATCGTATTAAAACATATAGGGATCCCGGGATTTGACCAATTCAAGAATATATAGTCTTTGATTTTTCCAATTCATTAGGCATATAATTATAAGTATTGTGATTTCCGCATTTTAAGTTTGTAAATAAATAGCTCTAAATATATCTATATCCTAAATTAAATTAATTTAACGTTCATTACATACAATAAAAAAATAAAAACTTAACGTTAATGGCCTTTCATTACGACAACAATCAACACAAATATAGTTTATTTGTTTTTTCCTCTATATCTAATACGATCCCGGATCCCGGGCGTCCCGGATCCCGGGATTTTCCCCACACACTAAATACCGGAAAGAATAAAATGAACGGAAAAAAAGAAAAAGAAAAAATGCACAGAACCAGATGTACACTTACGTTAATTAACCAAACGAAAACTTACTACAGAGAAAACAGGTGAAATCGCTAAATCAAAAGTCAGTGTAAATATGATTTATTGAAAAGAATTCATGAAAACAAACATTTTAATCATCATTACATCTTTGCGCTCAAAGCAATACTTGCTGCTTTTTAAAAATGGCGTGAAAATTGAAGTTTTTTTGACGCTATGTAAGATTAAATTTGATTTGCTAAATAATTTTGGATTCCAGCCCTGACAGATAAATTTTGTAGAAAGGTATAGAAGCCAAGCTTCGATTAAATTTTTGGATGGATTCGGAGTTTTAGGTTGTTCCTCAGTAAAATCCTAACGTAATACCGGCTCGCCGTGGCGATCTGGCATCAAGTGATTTTCGTCTTTCGTCATATTGTAGATTGGGTTGCAACAATAAGATCCATAAAGGAAACATGTCCGATCATTTGTCTTGTATTTTGTCTTCTTGTTTCTGGTTTTGCGTAAGTTTTTTGCGTTGTTTACTTTCATCAAATAAACTTAACTAAAATACACAGGAAGATTTAAAGTTTTGTGATTAAATTTCAGTACATAAGTACTTTACCTTTATTGTCTATGAATATCTGACAAACATTTCATAAAAAGGGTTTAATGAAACATGTTAAAAAACTACGGCGAGATAAAAACGCGATGTTGAAAGGTTTTGCAAAAGAAAAAATGTCCTGATATAGGTACAAATAAGTGTTGACAAATCTATTCAAAGAAGAGATATTTTCACGCGACCTTGCATGGAATAAATGATATAAAGCAGACTAGCTGCTGCACATTTGTCATTTGATCACTGTGCGACTTCAGATACCACACGAATCTCGCTAGGATATTTAATTGCAGGTATGTGATGGAAATTTTTAATTATTAATTCTCATAAACGTTTATTATTTGCCTAAAGACAATCGTTTTTAAAATATTAATGATATACAAATTTAATCATCAATTGACAAAATGTTATACGTTTTTGATAAACTATGGAAAAAAACTTTTTTATACTAGTCACTATCTTAGGATATTATTGTATGCGTTTTTTCTACATATTTTCGATTTTTCCACAATAACGTTCATTATCCTTTTTTTAAAAAAAGGTATTCTTATAGAAAAAATACAAGAAAAAATAATATTTTTAACCTTGTAGCCTTTTATTCTCGTGCAAAAGTAACCTCAATTAATTTTAACTATATTTGCGTAATTTCGGTATACATTGATGCGGACCGACAAGAAAATCCAAAACAATTTCACAATAATTGTTAACAAAATTAAGGATGCATACACTTATCAGTTTACTTTAATTTATTAGGAAAGATTGTTCAAATGGAAAATTTACAATATTTTACAATAAGAAATGCTTATTTTTTAGACATACTTATTACCAAGTTTAAAAAATGGCCGTCTCCTGGAACAGACCCCTTTAATTATCCCTGTCTGCATTGTATACGGAATGAGCCTCATATGCATGACATCATGGTATTATAGCCTTATTTGATTGAAATAAATTGTTTGTTTGTCTATCTTCAATGTAGCCTACTTTTATGGAGCCCAGTGTCTGATTTGGTATACGAGTTTCACTATAGACGATTTGCTGGTCCGCTTTACTATGGTTGCTAGTTTTATATAAAAAAAAGCTTTCAAAATTTTAGAAAATTCTGCAATAAATTTCATAGTTCATACTTATTACAGCACTTTAGGACAATAGCAATTATATAAGTCTAATACATTCTTGTTAATATAAATGAATGTGTGTATTATAAGGTATAAAGAATGTTATATGGCCATATAAAAAGGATGTTGTCTATAACCATCTATACAGAATCAAACCTTAACGAATTTATAAAAATACAGCAACCTGATTGTATTAAAGACAAAAATGATTATTTCTTTCATTAATTGACAGCAGTCGTGTGTATAGTCCATATAAAGTTTACGATTATACAAAAAGCGACGTTACAAACGTGCAGTATTATAAAAAAAATATATTGAATGTAATATCATTTTTTTCGTACAAGATATTGCACCGACTGTGCATATGGTTTAACGACAGAATTACGTATGTGATGATCTTTCTTTCTTTCTTTCTTTCTTTTATGCATTACTTTCCATTTCAAACTTGCATTCAAAATACAACAAATTTAAACAGAATTGACCGACGAGCATATGTTACTTTACTATATGATGCAACTTTAAAGCTCCTGCAATTTGTTATATATATATTTACTCTCACATTTACAGAGAAAAAATACCTTCTCGTCAAAAGCAAGAAATCAACGACTGAAATGTATCTTATGCGGGTAAGAACTATTTCAAATAAATCTTTGATTGTGTATTTTATGATTTATTGGTTTTTATTCATTTTACTTTAATGCTAACACAACATTTTTGGAGAAATTTTATTATTTTAACTGATTATATCTTCTCCATATAACTTGCCTAAATCAATCTTTTAGATCGCCGACATATGTCAATAAAAAAATGAAATGAGCCTTGGTACACCTTACTTTGGGGTCCATCACACTTTGAGGTCAGGTTTTGATACACAGATATGCATTGTTACACAGACGGTCGGTCCCCAATCGGTCATGTAATTTTAAATTTTCTCGCTGATCGGTTGTCATGCGTGATTTTATTTCTGGTTACATTTGACAAACAACCGCACCTTGGGATCATAAAATCAATTCATGAACAATTAATTTTAGTGATATTGTAAAGTAATTTCATGTAGTAAAGTTAACTAAAGTAAGTGAAATGTATATTAAGTCGGACGATATATTATTTTATTTCGTTATATCTAAGGTTTGCTTTTTGCAGTTGATTATGTATATGTCTCATAGAATAGAGACTTTTAAGTGAGATTTATAGATTATATATTTTGATGGGTATTGAGTGTAATAATACATTGGATAACACATTACTTAAAGTGACATTGTGCTTATTTATTTATTGTCAAGTTTAATATGTATTAATATCACAAAACTGACTGTTATAACTGCGATCGACCAACAGTTGGTTTTGGAAAATGTTAGATTAAATATAAATCTGCATAAACAATTTGTATACGTTTCTTTAAGCGATGTCAAGTGGTCCAAATATTTAGAAAAATCGAAAATTGTGAAATAAGCTTGAAATGCATTTACAACTGTATTCCTCACACAACTTGACCGTGATTAATGTTACCTCTAACTTACTTGTTACAAGTCATTAAAACAGTAATTGAATTGTTTGAAAATAAGAGATGATACTGTATTTTATTACATTCCGATCAATTTCAAATCTGTTGTTCAATATGGTACCAAAATTCAACAGAAAAACATACGGAAGAGTATACTGACCCCCCTTATATATTTTATATGCCTGTTTAAAATACGACGATACATGATAACAACATAGTTCGTAATGTTTTTTTTTTAAATTTATATATATAGTTCATATTGATCTTTTCTGTTTTTTGGCTAATATACTGTTAAAGATACGTATTATAAACTTAAGTCTTTCTGAAGACCTTACTTTTATTTATAAGAATTATGCTTTTTCTTCTTTTCATTGAAATTCTACCTCAAGAAGCAGACGTTTTCTTGATGTAAACGCTTTTATTTATTTGAAAACAGTATGTTTTTGAGGCACTATTTGTTTGACAGATATAGAGATGATATAATTATATATAATATATATTCTTTACCTGAGTTTTTAGCTTAGATGATGTTTTATATGTTTCCTAACATAAGTTTGATCGTTATGATAACACGCTTGCGTACACGAGTATCTTGCCAGTATTATATAAAATATTATAATTTAACTGATATATATTATTATTATATAAATGGTATTGAAACTTTGAGTAACTTATACTATAAATATTTCTTACATCTTTTTCAATGATTATACATGTTTTTTTTTTATATCAAAACGAAAAAATGGCCATTTAATATTATAATAATAGATGCGACTTATTATACCAAGAGAATCTAATTTAATTTATAAATTCATACATCTTTTTTCATGAGATTCATATGATAAAGGCTAAAGTGTACAACTACTGTATGTTAAGAAGAACATTCTGTTCTCTTAAATTTCCAAATATCATCGAAGAAACAATGCATATTTGTGATTTATGGTGTATAATAACAGATAAAACTGTGCAAGATTTATTTTAGATATCATATAACTTGTCACTTTTTTAAAGATATGTATTATACAAAGGTTTTTTTTCTTGAAGGCATAAAAAATATATAAGGGGGGTCAGTATACTCTTCCGTAAAAACATGTATGCACATTTACAAGTAAAGTATTTTGTTATAAAGTCATGATTTTGTATTTTTTAAAGATGTAAAATTGATAAAATATTTATAACTTACAATTAATAAGCAATACATACAACAGTGTTAGCAACTGTTAAATCTGAATTTATATGGCACCGAGCAAGATTATTTAATTGCACAATGGTGTATCTAAGTATAAACGGCCATCTTGAGCCCTAATATTTTTAAGGTTGCAGATCGAAAATAAGTCAATAATCAGTATATAAGCAGGACTTAGTTGGCATCTTCAAAATTTTGCGGTCGGAACCCAAAGTGTGGTGGACAGTGTATGCTGGATTTGATCATGCGTCTTTTAGACGCTTTATTTCCAATACATTCGAATATTTTTTTATTTATAATACTTAGCTGCAGAACTTTTAAAAATTACTAAGGGGCAGAGTGTGTAGTATTTTCAAGATTTTTTGACGAGCAAAATATTTCAAAATTTTTACTAAGCTAAACCTTCGAGAAATAAACAGCTTGCGATTCGGTATTTGAAACACCTTGCCGATTATCCATCATTAAGTACAAATTTCCTAGATTTACGGAAAATGCCGTAATGTTAAGAACTGCATGATGTTAACAATTGTTATAATTTTCACAGATAAAGGAACTTCTGATTGTGGCTTGTATGATTTACACTGGCGGTTGCACAATTGTCAACGATTACCGAGGACGTTTGCATTTCGAATGTGCTGGTGGTAACCAGTTCATATCCCATGTCTCGAGTGTACGAAGCAATCATCGAGAAGATCGTGTATTCAACATGAGTTGTCGAAATTTACCAGTTAATGTTACTGGTCTGACGCCATCTTGCTATTGGACAAGTATTTTATGCTCTCTTGGTTTACTTGTTTGGCTTATTTTTAAGCTGAAAATGATCAGATGTGAGTTTTTGTGATAGCATGCCGTCTGGTGTAGTCTTGCGTCGGGATCCAAAATTTACACCCAGTCTGTTGATAACAAATCTTCAATCTTTTTCCTAGTTACCCACTACCGTATAAGTACTTATTTCTGTGTGCTTAATATACTGAGATTCTTGTTAAAATAAGGGTTTTTCAATTTCTGCGTATCTTATTCATTCTCCCATTGTTGCGTTTTATGTCTGCGTTTTAATGCGTATTTGTACAAAAAGGAAAGTCTATTATATTTTTGTTTGTATTAAATTATCTTACGTTGGTTTCCGTTCTTAAAAACTTTGAAAAATAAAGTGAATATGTTTCTGTTGTATTCGCTTTAAGTGTATATGTATCAGGCAATGAGGTTGTGAATTTTTCTATCATTTTTTTCTGAACTAAAGAGATCAAAATAATGTCAATATGCTCATTATGTATTTAAAATTGTATATTTCAGGGTATTTAAACGACTGGGACGCACAGATGATATTTCATGGCCCCGGTAATCGATACATAAGTGGATTTCATAGTTACTTCAACATTTACCATGGAGACAGGAGATGGAAGGTCAAAAGTTGTAACATGAACGGTAGATTTTGTTACGTTTTAATCATAAAGTTTTGTAATCGCTTTCAGTGATTTGCCCTACTTTGAAAACTCATGTGCATGAAAACACCGAAAGACACCATATACTAGCTCCGGATTTTACTGGTACTCTCATTCCAGTGTTCGTGATATTATAAGATTGTTAATGTGTACCTTGATTTGAATCTCATGATTCTTATACATGTACCTATGCATATTAATGAAGCAGATATTAGTTTGTACATAAATACGCCAGTGATAGGTACAATTACCGAAACAAAACAGTTTCATTTATAGGAACATAACTTAATTAAACCAATACATGTCATGTCAATCCTGGTAATAGTATTTTCAGCAATTCAGAATAGGGACACATTATTACTGTCATTATTAAACATGGGCTGAGCTAACATTTCTTTATCTATTAAATAAACGAAATAACCTTTGCCAGTAATTTTAAGCAGGTTTACATCGGCCGAATATCTTTATAAAGATACGTCTTGTATGGGAGTTTATAGGAATCAGCAAAACATCACTTTTTTCTATGAATTGTATCAGTACGGATTAATCTAATGAATCCAGACGCTCAACAAATACTCTATCATTAATGATTAAATTACACAACGTATGTCCGTCACACCAGGTAATAGTATAATTTTATTTATTCTTCAGGAATTTACTTCTTAGCTGGATGTAACCATACTCCCTGGACCAACGGCTGGAATGGCAAGCAGAACTTTATTGCCGACTCTAACCGAGTTATGACAGGCATCATCTCAACTCATAATAATTACAGAGAGTAAGTTAACACGCCTTTAAGAAACACGCCTTTAAGTTTAAATCATTTAAAGCAACACGCCTTAAAGTTGAAGTCATTTAAAGCAGCAAGCCTCCAAGTTGTATTCATTTCAAGCACACCTCTAAGTTGAAATCATTTGAAGCAGCATGCCTCGAATATGAAATCATTTAAAGCAACACACCTCCAAGTTGAAATCATTTAAAGCAACACTCCCAAAGTTGAAATCATTTAAAACAGAAGGCATCCGAGCTGAAATCATTGAAAGCAGTACGCTTGAAATTTAAAACATTTTAAAGCAGCACGCCTCCAAGTTGAAATAGTTGAAATCATTTAAAACACCACGCCTACAAGTTGAAATAGTTGAAATCATATAAAGCAGCACGCCTTTAAGTTCAAATCATTTAAAGTTACACGACTCCGAGTTGATATCAATTAAAGAAGCAAGTCTTCAAGTTATCATAGTTTTTAAGTAAGACGCCTCCAAGTTATAGTCATTAAGCAGGTCCCAACATTAATTACAATAACCTTAAGAACTGTTCTATTAAATGTATGTAAAGTGTTACTCTCCTGCGCATCGGTCGAATGTTCCACTATCGCTCACTTCTTACCTCTGCTAAAATTGTAGGTTCAGACCGATATTTCTATTTTTAGACAGGAAAATCCGTGTCTACACTTCAGCCAATCAGTGACTAGCTTACTTGTAACGAATTGTCACATACCTGAATTTGACGCACCGTAATGTAAACAATGCGTGTTCATTTGTACCACAGGGGGCCCACACAGTGTTTGGATGGTATATACTGCTTGATAGTGACCTTAAAATGAGATTTTAGTCATAACCTTATAATATGTATATAAATATAGACAAGGGGCATTACTCGGTAAATAGAAAATTTTCGATCACCTTCAAATTCATGCGAGATTTTCCACTAATTAAATAAAAAAAATCCAAAAACTATACTGCGTTGCATAGCTTATATAATCCACAATTGATAAACACTAACTTTATTTTGATTCCCTTAGCCCATTTTAAGAAATTTATTCAAAACCGTTCACTTCTGTCACAAAATTGCTTAGTCGTACGAGATGTCGCAACACCAAATTCCACGGGTAAAATATCAATTTTAAAAGGGTGAGGTACAAATAAACGCATGCAAACAATTACACAACATAGTTTCTATTACCTACCTGCGCAAATAGTCGTGAAGCGCTCTATATTCGTCTGTTTCGAACGAAATCTTCAAATCAGAGCAGAATCTGCTTCGACGTAGACATCTTGGGGAAACCCCGGTCACGTGACCAGCCGGTGTATCGAGACCTTTCATTGGTTCGGTAGGAACTTTGTTTATAACGACAACCAATGAAAGGTTTCCATACACCATGGCCAGAATTTCCAACATGTATTCGCCGAAGCAGATTTCTGCACTGATTTGAAGATTTCGTTCGAAACAGACGAATATAGAGCGCTTCACGACTATTTGCGCAGATAGGTAATAGAAACTATGTTGTGTTATTGTTTGCATGCGTTTATTTGTACCTCACCCTTTTAAAATTGATATTTTACCCGTGGAATTTGGTGTTGCGACATCTCGTACGACTAAGCAATTTTGTGACAGAAGTGAACGGTTTTGAATAAATTTCTTAAAATGGGCTAAGGGAATCAAAATAAAGTTAGTGTTTATCAATTGTGGATTATATAAGCTATGCAACGCAGTATAGCTTTTGGATTTTTTTATTTAATTAGTGGAAAATCTCGCATGAATTTGAAGGTGATCGAAAATTCTCTATTTACCGAGTAATGCCCCTTGTCTATATTTATATACATATTATAAGGTTATGACTAAAATCTCATTTTAAGGTCACTATCAAGCAGTATATATACCATCCAAACACTGTGTGGGCCCCCTGTGGTACGACTAAGCAATTTTGTGACAGAAGTGATTGGTTTTGAAAAAATTTCTTAAAATGGGCTAAGGGAATCAAAATAAAGTTAGTGTTTATCAATTGTGGATTATATAAGCTATGCAACGCAGTATAGTTTTTGGATTTTTTTTTATTTAATTAGTGGAAAATCTCGCATGAATTTGAAGGTGATCGAAAATTCTCTATTTACCGAGTAATGCCCCTTGTCTATATTTATATACATATTATAAGGTTATGACTAAAATCTCATTTTAAGGTCACTATCAAGCAGTATATACCATCCAAACACTGTGTGGGCCCCCTGTGGTGTGTACTTCGTCAAACAGAATACAGATATTTTCCTCTACGAATATCACCATTTTCGCTGGAATCGCAGAAATCTGTCTAATTCCCAAAACATTTGGGTTTTCTTTAACACCAAGTTCACTATATAAATATGTTAACCCTTGAACCGATCATGTCTTTGCACTCACAAAAGTGTCATTGCTCTGCTCAATGATAGATTGTACCACTGCCTTTTAAAACGGTTTAATGGATCCATAATTGAAACGTTTTGCGAGCTTATCGAAAATTGAATTGTTAACAGTCGCCATTTTGTTTACAAAATTTTGAGGAATTACCCGTCTATTTAGGAAATAGATATCAATTCTGAGTGCATTGTTGTAGAATAATGCACGGTTTGAGTTCAAATGCGTAGTAATATAATCACGAAGGCCGATAGGCCTGAGTGATTAATTACAAAGCATTTGAACAAAAAACGTGCATTATTATACAATAATGCACGAAGAATTGATATCTATTTCCATTCTAATACGTCAAGAAAAAATATAATTTTTATTATAACGTTGGACTTTATGTTTGGTGGTTGAATTTGTTTTCGCCTCAGAGTTTCCAATAGAAACGTTCTTTAGAGGCCGTTCCAGTGGGTTGAAAAAAAAACTGTTAAATCTACCGTTTGTAGAAACATTTTGAAAATAACGAATTTTGAAAACGTTGATACAACTTTGTTTGTTTATTTATTTCAGTTTATAATTTTCCAAGCGTAATACAAATTATTAAAAGTGAAATAAATGTAAAACTAAACTCGTTTGCGACATTAAATAGCGAACTTGATTTGATTGTTTTGCACGTGCTGTTTGGCGCTACATTGTGACGTCACGTAAACAACACTTTAAACGTCTGTACAGCGTTAACGACTGAATTAAAGATATTGGTGTTCGGATTAATTTTCTTAGTTAGACCATTTTCTTTCATTCTAGATAGTTTTCACAACAAAATTCGAAAAAAAAATTTTAATTTATCAGATTTTTTAAACAAAATGGCGCCTTCAATGTGAAAATACACAGGGAGATAATAAGAACGGCGAGTGCATTGTTGTAGAATAATGCACCCTTCCGGCCTTCTTTGTCTATATAGAAAAAAATCCGATAGTGTTAGAATTATAATTCTGTACACACGTCATCTGTTTCAACCAATGAAAATGCGTATAAAGATTTTCGGGCGATTTGGATTTTGGAAAACTTTCATTGGTCGTTCAAAGTTCACTGTAAAGGTCAATATCATGAATCGACGCGTTTTAAAGCAGCGGTCTGAAGTAAAACCCCTGTCACACTAGGGCGGCGTTCTCACGGCGTCCAAAGAAAATTCAGAACGCCGAGGTGAGCGCAGTAAGATCGCAAACATCGCCGCAGCATCGCCACAGCATCGCAGTGGCATCGCATAGAACGCCGACCGACGGCGCGCATTTTGAGCATGCTCAAAACAAACGCCGTCACTCGGCGTTCTGATAAGAGCGCTGTGGGATCGCAGTAAGGACGCCGTAGCAACTCAGTAGCATCTCCTACAACGCAACAGGAGCGCCGTGAAAGCGCAGAAGGATCGCCGAATAAACGCCGTAATTAGCCACGGCGCTTGTACGGAGATTGTGCGGCGTTTCTATCGCGTTTATACTGCGTGTGTACGGCGCTTTTACGGAGCTTTATGTTTTCTAAAACGCTCTTACTGCGACTCTACGGCACTGTCACGGCGACCATTGCGCACTCATGACGATTCTACTGCGTTCATCTGAAATTGCAGAATACGGTACAGTAGAATCCCTACTTAAGACCACCCCAGAATTAAGACCAACCCTCTAATTAGACCCATTTTTTAAAAGAACGGAATTTTCTGTTCGTAATGTTAATGGTTACATGATCCACAATTCAGACTACCCCCACTTATCCACAGTTAAGACCACCAGTTTTAGTCCCAATTCATTGTTTTATTTATCTAACCCCACTGTTGAGACAATTGATATTCCAGTAAATACCTATTCAGATAACAGGTTTTTTGTTATTCATCTGCTTGAATTCTCTAAAGCATGACACTTGAAACATTGTGTTAAAACTGTTATGATTAGAATATTATATAAAGGTAAGACAATAAATTTCAGATTGGTTTAATGTTACTTTCTGCTCATTTTTGTGACGAATTAATTTCTTAATTAATAGGTGAATTATGTACATGTACATGAAACAAGACCTATGAAAAAATAATTTAAACATTAAATATCGTCAGATTAATGTTCTAATTAGGATTAATAAATATTATAACATCAGTTTACTACGGTGTCCTTATCGTGCCATTTAGAATGTCGTCCGTCGCGTCTAAGGGTAGACACACGACAATGCGAAGTGACATCACGACAATGCGAAGCGACGCTCGACAACGCGAAGCGATATGCGACAATGCGAAGCGACGCTCGACAGTGTCAAACGATATGTCGCACTGTCGCCTAGAAATGTCGCGGTAAAAAAGGGCGACATTTAAGAAATGTCGCTTCGCGTTGTCGAGTGTCGCTTCGCATTGTCGAGCGTCGCTTCGCGTTGTCGCGATGTCACTTCGCGTTGTCGCGATGTCACTTCGCGTTGTCGCATTGTCACTTCGCATTGTCGAGTGTCGAGGTTGGTAGAAAGTGCATACCACGACACTCGACAATGCGAAACGACAACGCGACAATGCGATACGACGCTCGACAATGCGAAGTGACACTCGACATCGACAT